AATACTGGTATCGGTATCGGGCCCGATACTGAGCTCCTGTACTCGTACTCGTTACGAGTACAGGAGAGTACTGGAAAAAGTGGTATCGGTGCATCCCTAATTTTAAAATTAATTAATTTTTTTCTACATTACATGATTAAAAAAAAAAATATATATATATATATATATAGGAAATTTGAGGCTCCCTTATTTTCAGTCAGATAATGTCACAATGTAAAAAAAAAAAATAGCCTAAATATCCTGTTCCTTTTCTTTTAAGCAAAATATTTGTTTTGGTTTGAAATACGACTTGGACATGTTCATTAGGGTTCATGAGTTTCATCCATTTATTTAAATGTGTTCTTTGAAACGTTAGATGGTTAGATTAGTTATTTGAAGTGTTTGTTTTCTCGAATAATAGTCCTATATCTGTTTATCTGTGGAGGTCCACTCTGTGTGCTCTCTATTTCCCCCTCCTGCTTTCTCTCTTTTTTTTTCCCCCCCAGCTCTTAGTGCATGTGCTTCAGGGTGTCATTGACAGTGCAGGAAGGAAGCAGTCGTCGCCTGTATGAGAGAGCTCCTATTAGCAAACGGCCAACGACTTCCCAGTTCACTCCAAGATCACAGAGATCTGCCCCCAATTCACTCACACACACACTCACTGTGAAACATCCTTCTGTCTGCTCCCCCTGTGTGTTTTCCTCCTTCGCAAAACTGCTTTTTGCATGCCAGAATCACCCTTTATTGCTTTCTTTTCCATTTTATGAAACTTTCTGGGCACATTTTGGTGTTAGTAGTTGTATTTAAGCAGAATTAGGATTAGTTGGTGAGTTTTGTTCAGACTGGCCTCTTCTCACGCTAGTCACAGAATCTTTTAGGTTGGTTTTTCGGAAGGGTAGCACTGGCTGAAGAGACATTTGAACTTGAAGAGCTGGATTTAGGCTTTGCTTGAATTGTTACCCTGCCAGCAAACCCTGAGAGGGAATCTCAAAGCTTCAGTATAAAACAGAGGTGGAGAAAGGGTCAGAAAAAGAGCCTGTAGATTTTTAAGTTTTGGAAAGAAGTCTCTTATGCTCACCAAGGCTGCATTTATTTAATCAAAAAGACAGTAATATTTCAAAAAAATTATTACAATTTAAAATAGCTGTTTTATATTTAAATATATATTAAAATAAAAAAATTTCCTGTGATGACAAAGCTGAATTTTATTCAGTGCCGCAGAATCTTTCAGAAATCAATCTAATATTCTGATTTGGTACTTAAAGGGGTCCTGTTATGCTCTTTTACAAAGTCTTGCATTGTTACCCTGCCAGCAAATCCTGAGAGGGAATCTCAAAGCTTCAGTATAAAACAGAGGTGGAGAAAGGGTCAGAAAAAGAGCCTGTAGATTTTTAAGTTTTGGAAAGAAGTCTCTTATGCTCACCAAGGCTGCATTTATTTAATCAAAAAGACAGTAATATTTCAAAAAAATTATTACAATTTAAAATAGCTGTTTTATATTTAAATATATATTAAAATAAAAAAAATTCCTGTGATGACAAAGCTGAATTTTATTCAGTGCCGCAGAATCTTTCAGAAATCAATCTAATATTCTGATTTGGTACTTAAAGGGGTCCTGTTATGCTCTTTTACAAAGTCTTGATTTTGTTTTGGGGGTGTACTAGAACATGAAAACATGAAAAAGCATAATAGGACCCCTTTAAGAAACCTTTCTTATTATTATCAATGCTTAATATTTTTGTGGAAACCGTGATACTTTTTTTTCAGCATTCTTTGATGAATAGAAATTTCAAAAGAGCAGAATTTTTTAAAGATTTTTTGCAGCAATGCGAACACGTGTGCGTCTGAGTGGCACTGCATGACCCACTGGATATTTGTGTATCAGTTTACTTGTCCAGTGGGTGTTTGGCTTCCATTCACTTCACATAACTAAACAGACTATGTAACCATGAGGAAGGATTAGAGGAAGTCTGAAGTCATGCAGATGCAAGAACTTTGCATAGCAACTTTGAATTTTCTGCAGTAAATATACGTTTAATAAATACAATTTAAGATTAATTTCTTTCAGTTTCCCAGGTTGCTGACCTCTGGTCTATGTAAAGCTATGTAAATCTCTGATACTGGTTTCACTCCCCTCATAACAGATGATAGATGGATGCTGTCATGTGATATAAATCAGAAACATTATAAATATGAAGCTGGAGAAGAGGAAGTACACAATGTTCCTTCCTGATTTTAGTGGAACAGCTGAAATCAAATGGCCTGGTTTGGAAAGATGGGGGCTGTTTGGATCCGGAATTTGTTGGTGTTGCTTCATCACAGTAATGGAAGTATTCATTGTGATCTTTGGAGTTACATAAGTACAAAATCATTGTACTGTTATGGATAGATATCCCTGTCTCAAGATTTAACAATGTTCGTTATAATGTTTCTTCAAAATGTGCTAGCCTTTTTTCCCTTGTTTGGGTGGGTGGAGAAAAATACCCTCATTCGCACACTTTCCACAAATCCAGTCAAATCCCAATGGATCATATCCAGACCCACTATAATTTATCTCAACAATGAATATGTTTCCATATGAAAATGTTACAATACTTGGGTTTACATGAGTTTATGGTTTGCAAATGATGTTTAGTGTTGTCTTTGACAGTTCAATCCAAATATTTTCATTCAGCTTTTACGCCGTTGCTTAAGAATAGATTTTGAGCTAAAATGGAAGTTCATTTATGGGTCTGTTCCAAAAACTGGTGAGCTGCCTACATAGGTAGTTGCCTTCTAGAACCTCGTAATTGATTTGGAACATTCTACATGCTTCCTACATAGGCAGCTCACTAGGTTTTGGAACAGAGCTATAATGTTGCCCTTGGTATAAAATTAAAGCTCTGTTGGGGCCTCCCACAGAAACATTTTTTCCAGTCTGTTTTTGCCAAACTTTAATGAACCAAATAAACATGTTGGCCCCTTCATTTCCGTCCCAGAAGATACTCACATATGTGCTATTAAGAGAGCAGAAAACCCTAATGAACCTTCAGAAGGTCGCGTAGTGCAATGTGAGCGGCGTTAAAAAAACTGCTTCACTTCTACAGTATATGGGAGGTGAATTCCCCCTCCTTTTTTGTGTTTTTCTAAAATGGGTCAGCAGATGTTATGAGTAGACGTGGAGGGAAAGAAAGAAAGAGGAGGTGGAAAAATATCCAAGACAAACAATTTGCGTTGCCATGTGGGCCGCATGGAGGGAGAAAAGTTCCGGCCAATAGCGATGCTCTGAATGGTTTACATTCACTTTTTGTTTTTTTTCTGAGTCAAGAGAGCAAGTTATAGTCTTACCAATAAGATTTTTAAACAAAAGACAATAGTTCTTTGTTCTAGTCCTCAATTTTAACTTGTGATTGTGTTTTATTTAACTATTCTGGAGACTAGGGGTTTGTAGTGTCTTAGTTTACTTTTGGTTTGGCCTGCGTTGACTTTTGCTCTTCTAACTTCTGGAATATGTTACTGAGACTGTAAATATAATGTTCTATGGACATTCAGAACAGTGTTGTTATAATGAAGTAAAACTATAAAAATTTGAAATAAAGCTGAAATAATATATTAGATGAAACACTTTAAACTTGAACTTAGCAACCATAAAAAAGTTTTAAAAAAGCATTACAAATTTACTTAAAGGGTTAGTTCACCCAAAAATGAAAATTAGCCCATAAATTACTCACCCTCAAGTCATCCTAGGTGTATATGACTTTCTTCTTTCAGACGAATCCAGTCTGAGTTATATAAAAAATTGTCTTTGATCTTTCAAGCTGTTTCATGGCACTCAGCGGGTGTTGCATGCATCAGTTCAAAAGAAGTTAAATAAAAAGTGCCCATCCATAAAAAAAAAGTGTCTCACACGGCTCCGGGGGGTGAACAAAGGCCTTCTGTAGCGAATCGATGCGTCTTAGTAGGAAAAATATCCATGTTCAAAACGTAATAATCACTTTAATGTAGCTTGCGCCAACAGTTGTACACTGGAAGCTGTCCCGGGCTGATGAGGTATGAGGTCAGTGCTGCGCATGCGCCAGTGAGTCTCGTGAAGACCAGCTTTTGTTAACAGGAGCAAAGGAAGCAAAGTTTCCTTACTTTAGCAAAGGAAAACCAGTCTCCTCTTGGCTTATATCGAAATCCTCCGACATTCTTCTTTACAAATCCTCGTTTTGTACTTCTAATTAGTGACCGTTGTTTTGTTGTGATCTCTCCCCTTCGCTTCCGTGTGCGTCACTTCTGAGCGGCGCATGTGCAACACCGACGTCTTACATCATCCGCCCGGAGCTGCTTCTGGGTACAACAGTGAGCGCAAGCTACATTAAAGTGGTTATTACGTTTTGAATATGGATATCGATTCGCTACAGAAGGCCTTTGTTCACCCCCCGGAGCCGTGTGAGACACTTTTTTATGGATGGGTGCTTTTTATTTAACTTCTTTTGGACTGATGCATGCAACAACCGCTGAGTGGCATTTAAAACAGCTTGAAAGATCAAAGACAATTTTTAATATAACTCCGACTGGATTCATCTGAAAGAAGAAAGTCATATACACCTAGGATGACTTGAGGGTGAGTAATTTATGGGCTAATTTTCATTTTTGGGTGAACTAACACTTTAAACTAAAAACGAAACTGAAAATATAAAAATACAATTCTAAATATAATAGTATATAAATAATATTAACATAAAATTAATTTGAAACCTAATGCACCAATTGAAAACAACATTTTACAGCTGGTGAAAACTGTAATAAGGATGCAATAGACATTTAAACCGAATAGTCTGCAACTCAAATCCACATGCTCTCACACTCTACCACATTATGAGTCTGTTGTCACTGTAGTGTGCAAATTATCATGCGTTGCGTCACTTAGGCGTCAACTTTGTTAACGTTCTAAAAGAAATAGACATGACTTGTTAAACTAGCAGTTGAATTGAGCTGCATCTCTTTGTATCGTTACAATGTGTTAACTTGTGTTTGTTTGCTGTTTACCTTTGCAGGCCATCACACCCAGGTGTCACAGTGCCCTCCCAATGAGTTTGAGTGTCGAGGAACAGATGTGTGCATTCACCTGAGCAAGCTTTGTGACGGCGTCCCAGACTGCTCGGATGGACGTGACGAGGGGCCGCACTGTCGAGGTAACATATGTGCAGAATAGGGATGTGCATCTCCATGACTGAGGCCGATACGATACGCATCTCGATGCATAGTCTGTAACGTAGTTTGTAAGTCGGGAAGGAGGAGGCGGGAACCGGCGAACATTAAAGATTTTAATAATAAAATAACCAAACACAAAATAGCACGACAGCCCCTCGCAGACGACTGTCGCGCACAAACAAAACCAAAACACAAAATAAACTCCAGGCCTGGTCCTCTCTCG